TTGCAACCAGGACAAGTTTTGGTACAGGGTTCCTCACAATGGATGAGATCTAGGAGACGACTGTACGATCATGGTTCGCTCTTAATTCTTACATTCAAAGTTCCCTAGGCAGCTTTAAACTTGCTTTTTTACCAAACAATTTGTCTAAACTTTCCCTAAATATTTCTATTTATTTAATGTACTTTGTTCTAAAAATAGAAAAGTGTCAGATTTCAACATCTTTTAAGATATAAGAACATTTCCTCAGTGTTACTCAATTAAAGATTTAAAGGGCGCAATTGTGAATCGGGCAACAGATATTTAAACTTTATATTATGTTGTTATTGATATAAATTCTGGAATTCTAGAAATGTTAGAAATTTTGAAATAGTTTAAAAATCAATCATTCCAGATTTTATCATGAACCGCAATCATGGGCGGCCCAACCATTAATTAAAATTAAATACCAAGCTAGAATTAATTAAATTTGGTAATTATAGATTTGGTTTTTTTCCTGGTTTTGTGATTGTAATGATGTAGAAACCATTAAATGTCGGGATAAATGTTTCTACACAATTTAAAAACCGATAAATTAATAGATTAGATTCCTCGCTTGATTAGAGGCCATTCATTAACAGAGTACTACAAATATAATGTATATATATATTATACTTATATGTATATATATATACTTTGCTTGTCTGTCTGTTTGTGTGTATCCAATAAACGCCAAAACGGCTGAACCAATCGTGACCAAATTATGTGTGCAGTTCGCATGACCCCATTATTATACCTAAACTATTTTGGTTGTATATTCTCGAAGTTTCGTGATTTTTCTTCAGACAAAAATAAATATTTTCACATATTTTACAAATATAGCAAAAATGGGATTTCTCTTTTACTTTGGTAAATCTTCTTCAGTTATTCTGTCATCTAACTATTAATATCTACAAAATTGCACACTTCTTGATACATGAAGCCAGGTTTCATGATGAATTACGAGACCCTGCATTTATAGTTACAGACTCTGGGGGAAAATAAAAACGAAACTCAGTCTCAACAGCACTGATATTGTTTATATTCCCCCCAGAAACTGAAGTAAACTTTTTATGAAGACAAAAATATGAGGTGTCGTGTATATCTATTATAAATTATAATGAATTAATTTTAGTTTTCCAACCTAACATTTAATTGTACCTCTGTAAAAAGTTAGGTGGAGTTGTTCTAAGTTCTAAGTTTTTCGTGTTTTTATTAGAACAAGTCCCACAACATTGATCGGTCAAAGGTTTCAATGGTACCGTTGTAAATCGGGCATTGCCATCTTTGCTTGGAGGGACATTTTAAATTACGCTTACAGTCCCTTTAATGCTCAATTATCCATGGCTGTACTGTACTGTACTGTACTGTACTGTACTATAAAACCATCATAGAATTGAAAAATGTAAATCACAGGAATAAGAAAGGTTATGCTTCTAGTTTTTCCTGGGTGGATTTCTACTAGGGTAGATCAATTTTTCACTATATAACAATATAAACTGTATTCTAAGTTTTAAAAAAGGAATGGTAATAAATTTTTTTTCAAAATTTATCAAAATTCTGAAAAAAAGACTCGTTTTAAACAACAAGTTCTAAAAAATTCGTTAATAATTCAATAAAATTGAGGCTTAATAAAATTACATTTGGTTAAAAATTTTGGTTCTGAAAAAAAACTTTTCTAGGTAAAAAAACCCAACAATTTAAATAATAAATAATAAATTCTTAGAAAGTATCCCAACATATAGGGTCCTAGGCTTGGGTCCACAATTGACCCGCCCTAATACATGCAGGGTTACCCATACATTCTCACACGGGGACTTACAAAACCAAAATTGATGGGTTTAAATCCGTGGCTTATCCCGTTCAGTGAATAGTGAATACAGGTCTATGGTGATAGTTGTACGGCTCTATTTTCATCTATAAATATAAAGTAAGACTATAAATATAACTTAAACTACATTTAAGTAAGCCAAAACTATTTATACAATAAAGTAAGCGTGAATTACAATAAAGTAAGCATAAACTATGTGAAGAATAAAGGAAGTGTAGACTACAATAAAGTAATTAAGCATAAAATACAAGAAAGTAAGCGTGAATTACAATAAAGTAAGCGCATACTACAATAAAGTAAGGGTAGACTACAATAAAGTAAGCGAAAACTAAAATAAAGTAAGCGTAAACTACAAATTAACAACTTCTCTATGTTTAACGGTTTAAGTGTTTATGCTGTTTAAAGGCTTGCATTGGTAGAAATCAAAATGAAAATAGAAAGTCGTCTTCATTTTATTGATATATACGACAACGATATATACAAATGTACAGTTAAATCCTAAATGAACCATACATCAAAAGAATTTATCAAATGTCGTCTTGACAATTTTTCAATGGTTTTATACTATTTTACGTAAATATCAGTATTTGCAAAAACAAATAAATAGCCATGAATATGCGGGAACAGTTTTATAGAGCTCCATATAATCATTTAATTAAAAAAACTAAATATCTGCAACATTCCATTATCAGAAAGTGAAGAATACGACATGAATTCTTTCGATGTATTACTTATTTAGGATTTAACTGTATTAAAATTCAGGTTTAGTCTACAGAGAGATACATAAAACTTTGAAAGAGGATAAATACATTTCACCAATTTTCAATTGTATTTGATGTTGAAATCTTGAAAATTTAATTATTTACAGTTGATCATGTTTGGTGGAATATTAAAAACCATAATTTCACTCTAGCCCTTTATTTCACAATTTTTTGGGTCTCACTGTATTTTACCATCGAAAGGAAGCTTAATACGCACCTTAAAATTTTCAAAGAGGTTTAGGTCGTCCTTGAAATCTCAAGCCTTGCACTGTAGTAAATCTCAAATATCAAAGAATACCATAGTCATCTTTCGACTGTCATGTTATAACTGGGAAACCAGTTTTAATTCTTATACAAATTTTTATATATAACTGAAGAGCCCGGCGTTGCCCGTGGAATATTTAAAAATTCGATTTTTTAAGCCTATGTTACCCCCGGGGTATCCCATGCGTTCCCTTAAAAATGCATTAGCGAAGAGCTTTATTATATTTATTGTTCATTAATTAATTATTTACTTAAAAAAACCTAATTTTTAGGAGAAGCAGAAAACGTCAAGTTTCTCTATGAACGGTAACGGTACAGGAAAAGACACTGGTAGAAGTAGTAGCAGCTGGTCAGATCAAAGAAATAAAGAGTTTAATAATATCTGGGGATCCATCAAATAAAGAGTTTAATAATATCTGGGGATCCATCAAATAAAGAGTTTAATAATATCTGGTTTAATAATATCTGGGGATCCATCAAATAAAGAGTTTAATAATATCTGGGGATCCATCAAATAAAAAATATTTTTTACAACAAACCCCGTCATAGCTCATACCAAAATGTACCTATAATCTCATCATTAAATGCTTCAATCGCAAAATCTATACTTTGTTAGTTGTTTTTCCTCATATATCTTCATCATGATCTTTATAGCTTTAATTCAAATCGTAATAATTTGATGTTTGTACAACTGTAGTAATTTTGACAATGTATATAATAAATGTTAAAGAACATACCTTTTATTCATAAATATCGCCTCAAATATCAGAATAAATAAGAAAATTATTCATGTTATCAGCTTTCTGAGTCTGACTAACCTCACAAAATGCTGCGACTTGAATTAACTGTGTCTTATTCGTCTGATATGTTTTCAATGTTGCTTTTTAAGTTCCAGTCCAGTAGTTGTATACTTTAATTCTTGTTAAAATGAATTTTTCAAAAAATATTTTATAGTCAAACTGTGATCTGTTTTAAGTTCCAGTCCAGCAGTTGTATATAATTCTTGTTAAAATGAATTTTTCAAGTAATATTTTATAGTCAAACTGTAATCTAAAATTCGGTGATAGTGATGGACCAAACGTTGACTGCAGAGTAAAAAAGTAGATGTTAGTTCCACAATAATTGAAAATGTGTTTCGGTCTGGGTTGACCCTCGTCAGTTCTAACGATATAATAACCATCAAAATCGATAAAAAAAAATAAAAAAATGTAAAAAATCACAAGAAGATAAAATACAAAAAGATTATTCAAAATAAAAATTTGGGCTGTCAAATGGAAATAAGGGAAACTAACTCAGATTATGAGATGGAAAAAAGATAATTTGCAAATATTCACTTACCTTTTAAAGAATTGGACATAAAAAACCTCTTTTTTAAAAAAGATTCTGAATTACGGTTTACAATTAAATAAAAACTCTTTTTTTCTGTTCATTCCTCTGAGTTCAGTCATAAAATCTCTGATGTATTTAGATTCTCGTACTTCAAGTAAACTTCTTCCGTGGTCCCAAACCTTCTCTAAAACGCTAACTTTTAGATGGTAGAGTTCATGTCCAGAAAGGTTAAAATGTTCTCCTGTAGGCTGGTTTGTATGGAGATTTCTAATGTAACCAATATGTTCTCTCACTCTTTCATCTAAAGATCTTGTTGTCTGTCCTATATATAGTAGTTTACACTGTTCACATGTTTGAAGGACTTGCAGAAGCCGTTGTAATGGCACTTTGATAGTGGTATCTGTGCTTCACATTAGTTCAGTTATTTTTTTTCTTTACTAATTTTTATTTGTTAGTGATATTTTTAGGTTAATTTTTATACTAGACTACCGTTAGATAACTAAACTTTACGCAGAGTCCTTTCTTTTTGTTCATTTATTCCGGAAGCTCTAAGCAAGTCGGATATACTTGATTTTTAACAGAAATTTTATTATTTTCAGTTGTGGTCTTATTCAAATATTCCTCAATGTTAAGTTCTCTACGTACGTGAAACTGTCAACATGAAGATTTTTAGGTTAACTTCAGCGAAGTCTCTCTTAAAAGATGAACTAATGACATCGAAGGTCATTAAAATAATAATAACCAATCAACCTTCATTCCGTAGACATCTAGTCCAAGCCCCTAGTGAAGTGATAAAACTATTTTAAATATGATATCCTTTATTTTCCGAAACTAATAGTATTTACAATGACATGATTAAATAGTAATATAACACTAGTAATACAGAGGGATCCTGTTCAAAACCATGTTTTCTGTATACACAGCGCCATTTTTGAGTCAAATCACATGTTCAAACTTGCTCCCCCTGGAACTACCTAAGCTCATATAATCACTACTGTTCGTGCTGTATAAATAACTAGATAAGTGAAATTGTTGCTTTTTAAATTTCAAATCAAAATTATTTTTTTTTTAAATATTTGAAAATAATTTCACTGAGCTTTATCACATGGTACTTTTACATTTGAAATCTTAAAGTTTAAGATGTACAAACTAAATCGACATTAATTTGGAAAATAAATTTAATGTTTGGAAAGGCATTAATATTAAAAGTAAGAATCTCGACCAACTAAAATATAATAAGAGCAGTGAATAGAAACAATTCACACATGAACTAATTTGAAATGCTAAACTAGAATCACATGATTTCTAAAAATATAAATCTGAATTTCACAACGAATGCCGTACGCAAATATTCAACCATTTTAGGCAAGGAATAATTATCTAGAAGTTTAAAAATACATGATCCTTAAAAACTGTGAACATTTTACAATTAAAATGTATAAATATTAATTTATTTAATCATAAGCTGTATGAATGGAATTTATTGTGAGCAGGATTATTAGAAATGCCGCGTAGGGCTATACATGTACCCATGTACCGTATAGTAGGACTGTACATGTATCCTTGTACCGTACCATATGGCTGGACATGTACCCTTGTACAGTACTGAAGGACTGGACATGTACCCTTGTACAGTTCTGTATGGCTGGACATATATCCGTGTACAGTATTTTAGGAACTGTGCCAAACACACTTACAGGAACCAACATATTTTACAGACAATTGTTCTTTACTTTTTAAATATATTTCTTATGTAAAAATAAGCTTTTAAAAAGTGTAATTAAACGTTTTTGAAAAACAATAAGTTCGAATTTTAGAAACAACTTCGTGCTTTGGTTCGCTACAATAATATCACAGTGTTCAAGCCTTTTCTCAATCTGAAAAAATACATGATCAAAAAATGTGAATTTAAAGGAACAATGTGCGATGTATATTATATACAATAAAATGAATATAGCAGAATAATAATCCTCTAAAAATTACCTCTTTTTTTAGGCAACAACGAGTGGTTCGACGTCCGAAAATCCACGAATAATTGGACTCTCGTCGTCTTCATCCAGTAAAGTCGCATGACCAGTGGCGCTACTGTAATGGGACGCGGCATATTCCTAAAAAAAAAATATATTTCTGTATTTTCCTCAATAATTTAAGGGAAATACAAGCAGTACATCTGTTTACTTGTATATCCGCTCATGACTAGAAACCACATGACCGATTTGCCTCAAATTCTGATTGGGAAACTCGGTAGAAACCTAGGAACGGTCTAAGCTCGGGATTTTAGAAATTTAAGGTTACTGGGCAAACCTGGGTTTCCAAACTGGTAAAGTACCAGTTTAAAAAAGCTTTTTGAATAATACATCTATCACCATAGTTTGACTGTACATTTTTGACCCTTTTCTAAATGACAAACATCAAACTGTAAAATTTCCTCAATTTTTGCACTGCAAATCCATCAATCGAATATATTAAGTGGATTTTGGGAGCTGTCCAACCATGAAAGAACGTTTTTAACGCCATTTAAATATTTAAAAATAAGATTTAATCATCACTAACCTGAATAGTTCTTCTAAGCCTCCTGTGTTTGAACATAAAATATCCGAGAGCTGAGACAAGAATAGCAATCACGAAGAGGACTCCGATCACGGTTCCGACGGCGCTGGATTCCTCGATCACTATCTCCCCTTGATGCTCCTCGGAGATATCAACCAGTAATCTAGAGGCTCGAACCCAGGCGGACATGTATTCGTATTGATTCACAGACTAAAATATAAAAATGCTCTGGATCCAAATAATTTTGATGGATGGATTCTGGTTCCATGATTATTGATTGTTTCTGCAAACTTTTTTTAGAACCTTTATTAAATATTAAAAACTCCTTATAGAGCTGTTTTAGTGATTTTAGAGGACAACAAATTGTTTTCCATGTTTTGGTTGATATTATGCCATCCGGACGCGAAAAGTTTGCGGCTCCTGGTTTCTAATGTGATCCAATGGATCCGAATCCAAATCATGACTTTAAAGGGAGTGACCGGCAATGTAGAATTTACTGTAGTTTTTGTTACATTTTTCGTCGTCGTCAATGAATAATTTTTAATAAATCGATTCTCAAAACGTAACCACCCAAATGTTTTATTTGAACGTCGACTTTACGCTCAATCTCAGTAATTATACATCATTAAAACGTTATATATGTCTCAAATGAATTCTCCGCAATACTACATTCTTAGTTCAACTACCATACATTGCCGGTCACTCCCTTTAAAGGTTACTTATTTCCTCTCACCTTAACAGTTGCAACCGCCACCTGACACTCGGTTATCTTACAGTGAGGATCCTGAATATTACAGATTACAGATTGCTAATGTTTGATTTAACAGGGTGTGCGCGATTTGCATCTATAAAAAGTTGCAGGTTCCATAGGCCTTCCAGAATGTCTTTTTGGACAATATTTGTAATAAAGTTAAATAATTAGACAATCTTGACATTTTAAAGATATAAAAATGGCGGGGAGGTTTGATCACAAACAGACATGAATTTGTTTTAGGGTTTATTAAAGGGACTGTAACCGTAATTTCAAGTAACCCTTCATTTAATAAGTGACATGTCCGATTTACAGCTTTGTCAGTTTGGTACGGTCGTGAATCCGGCATGCCCCTCTTTCTACGGAGGGTCACAGACAAATACAACGACAGTCCATTTAAGAGTGCACGCGATAATTTACCTTAGAAAATTCTATCATAATCTCAGATCGATGAATCGTGAACGGACTCTTTACTGTTGGGAAACAAAGGGTGCAGGGAGAACTGTGGCAGCCTTCACAACATAACAATTAGTTTGGCTTCATTTAAAAAATAATACTAATCAAAAATCACTAGAATAAAGGATCTTTTATAGGTTTTAATTCCATAAAGCCTCTTATTAAGTTTATTCTTTTAAATTTGGGTTTGTTTTGGTATTCCATATGATTTTAAAGAACTAAAAATCTGAAGTTGGAATTTTCAAAAAAATCTCTTCACAAAGATGTTTAAAATATATATATATACCTTTTGATAAATCCTCTGATGGCGATAATAAAACTGTAAACTGATCATCATTCCTAGCAGCCCCTTCCTTACCCCAGTGGACCGTCAGTGAACGATTTGCGAAATCGGCGTAAACGGCGGTGGGTGGCGGTATCACCGGTCCGTACATGAGGACGGGAACCGCCTTCTTGGCGTTCTTATGATTCTGTGAGATAGTGACGGAGTAGGTCGCCCCAGGAATTAGGTTGTTCACGTAGTGGCTGATAGTGCTGTTCCTCGTTCCAGCTGAAATATGATTAATAATCGGTTTTTTAGCATGGTTTTGACAGAGTTTTTTATAGCTTTGACAGAGGTTATAATGGTTTTGACAGAGTTTATTATGGTTTTGACAAAGTTTATTATGGCTTTGACAGAGTTTATTATGGGACTGACAGAGTTTATCATGGGGTTGACAGAGTTTATTATGGTTTTGGCCCAGTTATCATGGTTTTGACCGAGATTATTATGGATTTGACAGAGTTAATTATGGTTTTGACAAAGGTTATTATAGTTTTGTCTGAGTTTATTATGGTTTGACCGAGTTTATTATGGGTTTGAAAGAGTTTATTTTGCGTTTGACAGAGTTTATCATGGTTTCGACAGAGTTTATTATGGTTTGACCGAGTTTATTATGGGGTTGAAAGAGTTTATTTTGGGTTTGACAGAGTTTATGGGGCTGACCGAGTTTATTATGGTTTTGACAGAGTTTATCATGGTTCTGACAGAGTTTATTATGTTTTGACCGAGTTTATTATGGGCTTGAAAGAGTTTATTTTGGGTTTGACAGAGTTTATGGGGTTGACCGAGTTTATTATGGTTTCGACAGAGTTTATTATGGTTGTGACAGAGTTTATCATGGTTTTGACAGAGTTTATTATGGTTTTGAGTAACGACCGAATTAAAAATAATATTGGCAAGATTTTCTTTAGAGAAAAACGGGTTGAGGGTATTGAATAACCCTGCATCATTGTTTTCAAAATAAAACAAAGCATGACCTGAAAGAATAGAGTTGATTTTACGAGACATTTATATGTAATGAAAGAAGAGCACGGTAACAATTATGCTTAACTGCATTGAAACCAAAGCCTTCAGGAGAGGGAGGGGGGGGGGCGGTTGGGGTTTATCCCCCCCCCACCCCGCCTTAATAAAATATACGTAACTGGCAGCATTCTGAATAAATACAGGGTGTTTTAAAAAAAGGTATTTGCCCAAGAAATTTTAAATTTTACTGTTACAATTATGATGTTAATGAAGATTCTTATATTTAAGCTTTATAAAGGTCTCTAAAATAGGTTCTTTAAATTAAAAAATAAGACGTAGTCCGGTTAAAAAAAAAAAGTATTTTTAGATCACAGGAAAAGAAAAAAAGTCAGGGAAAACGATTTTTTGTCTTCTAATGAACTGAAAATAACTGGACAGTGGACAATGGACAATACCCCCACATATCCACACTATGAATTGAACTTTTTTTACGATGGTAAAAACAAATAAAACAGATTGGTTTCAAATTTATTTTGTTTTTACTTAGAAGATATTTTTAACATCGTAAGGCAAAGATTCTTTTCAGAATCTTGTTTACAAAAACAATAATAAACAGATTCATTTTGTGCATATAAAGATAAGGGTCAGCAACAACATATCAAATAATATATTACAGGGATTGCTTGAGGCATCCTTGCTTTGGGTTTCAGTGCCTTCTCTATTTCTGGATTTTCAGCCCGATATTTACAAAACAAAACAAAAACCTGTTGATATTGGGACAAATTGCGTTGCCTTGTTTATGAAAAATACTAATTTTTACAATTTTGTATTTGTTTAGCTGGCGGTCCGTCCACTTTGTATATAATTAATGTCAAAACTGGTGAATCGATCGGGTCAAAATTGATGACCCCAGAGCCCGCGATTCAAATGCTTAGACTAGGGGTTAAACCCAGGCTTAAGACCCAAATTAGACCCAAATTATAAATTATGAAGAAAGCTGCCAGCCCTTAGACTCGACTTAAGGACCTAATGACAATAAAACAGAACTTGGTTGGATTTATCTGAGAGTTAGTCGCAATTTTGAGTCTTATCTATGAAAATCGGTCAAATGCATTGTTAAACCGGTTAAATAAACCATATGTTGCAGCTTATTCCAAAGCTCGAGTCTTAAATTAGTCTCAATGACACAATACTTGCCACAATTTTATGAATTTGGACTCAGGGAAATTTATGATCTGTCAAATTAAAAAGTCCGCCATTAAAACAGAAAATCTGGTAAATGTTTAGAAATGTAAGAATGGTTAGCAGAGTTAGCAGGTAACAGAAACAATATAAAATATTTAAAAGAAAATCATAAAGATTTCTGTTAGCTAAGTAGGTGTCAATTTATTTAGGAAAACATAAAGATTTCTGTTAGCTTAGTAGGTGTCAATTTATCTAGGAAATCAAAAGATTTCTGTTAGCTTAGTAGGTGTCAATTTATCTAGAAAATCATAAAGATTTCTATTAGCTTAGTAGGTGTCAATTTATCTAGAAAATCATAAAGATTTCTATTAGCTTAGTAGGTGTCAATTTATCTAGAAAAAATCTTGGTTTTATATGTTGCTTTTCAAGTTGACATGTTTTTTTAAGTAAAATGAACTAAACTTCATCTTAACGACATTTATTATATGCCAAATTTTCTAGCGGTAATGACCCTTCCTCGAAGTCATGCGAGATATCACAAAAATGTTGGGCCCTTCAGTTGTTTTGGGTTAATGCTACTAACCAACACAAAATTTGATATGGATGAATTATATATATATAGTTACCTAATGATGTAAATGATGATTTGCCGGTAGTAGTATCGAGGATGGTGATGGTGTACCCGACCTCGTTCTCGAGGCTGGAACACGGGGACTCCCAGGTTACAAGGTTACCCTCTACACCTACATTCTTAGGAACAGCAGTCATACTGTACTCAGTCCTGGAAATGATGAGACTGATAAAACTAATTATAATAACGATAAGGATAGTAATATTAATGATGCTAATGACATCAATGATAATAATAATGATATTAATTATAACAAACAATCAAAAAATAATAATAACAATAATAATGATACTGTACTAAGTCCTATAAATTGGGACAGAACCCACAACGCCACAAACTTTTCAGACCAGACTGACATTTAAGTGTTCCAAGGCATTTGTTTGACATAATCAATTTTTTTTGTATCCTGGAACATAAATATTTAAAAGCACCTAACTCTTAGCCATTAGTTTGGGTTTGAAAATCAATAAACAGTTTTTGTTCAGCCGGTCATGGAAATATTTGAAAGCTGCAAACATATTTCCATAGCTTAGGTTTTTAGAAAAATAGAAGTCTGATAAATTCATAGCATTCACAGTTCAGGCTCAGATTATACAATATTTTGACCCTAATTTTTATAAGGATACGTACTAAATACGGACGAAGACCAATATTGTGAGCGCTACTGAGCAATACTGCTAAATATTGTTAATCCAAAAACGGCTGAGAACTCTTAAATAAATAAAATTCCTAGACACAGCAAACAATTAGTCTTATCTTACCTGACAGTTTTCTTGTTGGACATAGGCCCAATACCGGCGGAGTGATTGGCGGAGAGTATTGCCACGGCGAATATGTAATCAGTGCACGCATCTAGATCTGCGACAGTACCGTGGGATTCTATAAAGGTAAGACGAGGTCCTCCTTCTACTAGTTCACGTAGAGAAGCTCCATACCACACAGCGTAGGTGTACACCTAATATGTTAACAGTTTGAATTGAAGTTTTCTTTATTGTTTCTGCTGCAGATTTTCAGACAGAAAAACAAGGGTTTCTTTTCAAATACTATTTAAAAGTTGGTTCCAGCTTGAAGCTTTAGAAGAAAGGGGAATAAGAATTGAAATAGAAAAAATATATATATATTAGGATTCACTTGGTAGCAGTTAAATGGTATTCAGTATTTTACAATTTTAAGAAATCTATGATCACATTCATAGAAAATAACAAAATTTAAGAAAATTATGATTTATAGTTGTTTTAATAATATTCAACTATCTGTCATTTTACTGATAGTTTTTTCCTAATTGCAGCAAAAAGTTAATAGCAGAATTTTCTTTATGCTTTGCTTTGGAATCATTAAATTGTTTTAAAAATTGCAATTGTAAAACTGCGATTCATAGCAAGGAATTTCTCTTAAAATCCTTTTCTTTGAAAGTTGGAAAAATGTACACTTACTAATACTTTTTTCCTTCTTTGAAGGGAGTGTTCGAGAAAAATCAAAGAAGGTACAGACATACGGCGCTACTAATCTTACTTCTATCTGTTGCGTCTATAAGGAGAAAATTGTTAAAAACGACTTGTGCTGAATAACATAGCATCCACCCCAATTGAGAAAGTTGCAATCCACAACTTGGATCGTAAAAAATCAATTTAAAATCAAACAAATCATTCAGATATTACAACCTGTAGTCATTGATTATTTTTCGCCACATTTGTATAAAATTAATTTTTCATAATATGTTTTGCGTCTTTTATATACAATGCACTTAAAACAACGATTTTTTTCCCGCAAGGTGTCTCTGTCATAAGGAATCATTAAGAGCATCTAGAGCAAGAGCTACCTGGCGGACAAACTAATCAACGTTTTAAATGCATTGTATATAATACAAATACAAAAATTATGAAATATCAACTATATACAAAAACGTCCAAAAAAATCGATGACTTAAGGTTGTAATATCCAAATGATTTGTTTGAAATTAAATTGATTATTTTACGATAAATATTGAGCCGTGGATTGCAATTTTGTCAATTTGGGTGGATGCTACGTTATTCGGTACGAGTAGTTTTTAACAATTTTCTCCTTATAGACGCAAAAAAAAAGAAGTAAGATTAGTAGCGATCAAAAGCGCTTATTTTTCGCCGTTTACCTATACCCCCTTTCATTTTTCGCGAACACTCCCTTTAAAGAAGGACAAAAGACAAGTATGTGTACTGCTGACGTTATTTCTATAATGAACGGGAAATTAAATATTGTTCTAACACTGTAGATTAGTTTTCTTGTGTAAGGTATTTTCATAAAGCAAGAGTCGGAACTGAAAACTTTTGAATACACCGCATACGATTAGTTAAGTCTCTCCTCGCGAGCAGATCAACCGATCTCTTATTGGTGAACGCTTTTGACCGAGTATTAATAAATCAATCCGCAACGCAACTAAATAATGATTAAAATATTTACAACGTTACCTTAAAAGCTTTGTCTGATCAAGTATGAATTTCAGTTGCGAATTCACTGCGAAAATGACTTAGAAGATAAAAGAACTCAACACTTTTGACCAAGGGTTTTAAGGGTACAGTTGTAAATTAGGCATTGCCATCTTTGTACGGAGGGTGGCATAAAATTACGCATACAGTCCCTTTTAGAAACCCAGATTTCTGGCCTGGAAAAGTACAGCAATTGTGAAATTTCTTCCACGAGGATTTATGAAATAATGCAAAGTAAAGAAAAAGAAAAATTGAAACTCAATATTTAAAAAAAATAATTATTGATAAAAAATCACCTTGGCACTCGGAGAAGGAATAGACCAGACAAGTTTAACACTGGTTGGATTATCAGGGAGCAAAGCTGTTCCGTCTTCTAGTATTGTTGGAGCAGGCAGGGGGAGTCCCTCCGTCTTAACCTCAATCAGTTTAGGAAGCGTTAATCCATGTTCAGTGATTCCTGTGTTCAAATACTATTCTACAAACTTGTTTATATTGGACAGTCGACATGTCATTGTACAGTAATCGTAATGCACGTTTTCGATCATTTTCCGGCTGCAGTGTAAGCGAAAAGGGAAAAGTAAGAGTATAATTTGTAATAATAATAATAATAATGATAATGAAAAAAATAAGTATTATAAAGAGTGTCAACAATGATAAATAAAGATGAATAAAACAACAACTGATAGAACACTATTTTGATTAGAGGAAATTAACTGAAATTAAAGAATAGTATTTTCCTGAGATATAAACAGTATACTTTGTACCAGGGGCTAGTCCTACCAGAGATATCTTAGTCTGCGTAGAGTTCACGTTGGTACCCTTCAATACAGATTATATTATTATTAATATAGAACACTGCGTAGAGTTCACGTTTGGTACCCTTCAATACAGATCATATTATTATTAATATAAAACACTGCGTAGAGTTCACGTTGGTACCCTTCAATACAGATTATATTATTATTGATATAGAACACTGCGTAGAGTTCACGTTGGTACCTTTCAATACAGATTATATTATTATTAATATAGAACACTGCGTAGAGTTCACGTTGGTACCCTTCAATACAGATTATATTATTATTAATATAGAACACTGCGTAGAGTTCATGTTGGTATCCTTCAATACAGAATATATTATTAGATTATTAGCACTGAATACAGATTTTGTCTATATAATAATAAAAGTAATAATCTAGAAAATCGAGAGAATCGAGAGAATCTAGAAAATCTAGAGAATCTAGAGAATCTAGAGAATCTAGAGAATCTATAGAATCTAGATAATGTAAAATTTTTTAGAGAATCTGGAGAATTTAGAGAAATCTAGAGAGATAGAGAGAATCTAGAGAATCATCGCTTTACGTACGAGGTTGCTAGAGCGTCGGGAAACACGTCGGTCGCAAGGTGCAATTTAAGCTTAGAGAATTTAGAGAATCTAGATAACCTCAACCACCTAACCACCCCAACTCTCTATTGAAGAATCATCTACCCCCTAAATTGACCTGATCAAGCTGGTTTACAGTCTGGAACTTGATGTAGTACTCAGATATTTCAGGGATGGAACTCCAGTTTAATCTGATCATACTCTCAGTTACCTTAACATATAAAACCTTCATTTGTATCTTCATAAATAAAGTAGTAATCTCTGTTTGATGTCCGTTCATAACTTCAAATTTTTATTGGGGAACTCGTTAGAACTAGGGAAATGTTCTTAGCTTGATTTAACAATTCATAATTATATGAATTTACTTTTAAAGACAAAGTTTAGTTTACAGGCAAAGCTTAGTTCCAAAGCTAGTATTAAAAGACCTAGAACTGTAACCAGTATCAGAAGAATGAAAGTCGTATTAAAATGTTCAACCTTAATATCAGAAATATAAATAAAGATTTTACAATTTTTAACTGTAAACAAATGTAAACTACTGGTCACTACAGTAAATTACAGTAAACTACTGTAAACTATTGTAAACTACTGTAAACTACTGTAAACTACTGGACACTACAGTCAATTACTGTAAACTACTGGTCACTACAGTAAATTACTGTAAACTACTGTAAACTACTGTAAACTACTGTAAGCTACTGTAAACTACTGAAAACTACTGTAAAGTACTGTAAACTACTGTAAACTACTGTAAACTACTGTAAACTACTGTAAACTACTGTAAACTACTGTAAGCTACTGTAAACTACTGAAAACTACTGTAAAGTACTGTAGTAAACTACTGTAAACTACTGTAAACTACTGTAAACTACTGTAAAGTACTGTAAAGTACTGTAAAGTACTCTAAACTACTGTAAACTACTGTAACTGTAAACTACTGTAAACTACTGTAAACTACTGTAAACTACAGTAAACTACAGTAAACTACTGTAAACTACTACTATTGTAAACTACTGTAAACTACTGTAAACTACTGTAAACTACTAGAAACTAATGATAGTTCTAACCTGGAGAATAGTTATAGTCTCAATCTCCTGATGAAGAGTAAACTCTAAAGGTTCACTTGCAGAACTCAAAGCAACCTTATTCATTGCGTACACCTTCATAGATAGATAGTCATTAATGGATAATAAAACTTAAACAATTTCATAGAAAATATGCAGATTTTATTCAGGAAAGGCTGTCAAGAGGTAAGTCCCTTTTCTACGGACTTATGAAAATGTTTTAATTGGATGATTTAAAAGCAAAAAGAAAAAAAGGACTTTTCAGTCTAGGATCCGGAAGAAGGAAAAAATGGCTTAATTGGGAAATTCATTTTGGAAGAACAAAAAAGATACAAAATGAAAAAGTAAATCTGAAGCCGGGACAGTAATTATTATTATACCCCTAGTGTAAAATTATTTACCTGAAAGGTGAACTGACTTCCTGACTCTAGTCCCCCGAACCCTGCAGAGCTTGGCTGAAGTGGATCCTTTACTTCTATATCAGCACTAGTGTACATGTTCCCATTATGGGATACAGTCACCTAAATATATACAGTGTACTGTACAACTATATCAACACTAGTGTACATGTTCCCATTATGGGATACAGTCACCTAAATATATACCACTAATGTACATGTTCCCATTATGGGATACAGTCACCTAAATATAAACAGTGTACTGTACAACTATATCAGCACTTGTGTACATGTTCCCATTAAGGGATACAGTCACCTAAATACATACCGTGTACTGTACAAATACATCAGCACTTGTGTACATGTTCCCATTATGGGATACAGTCACCTAAATATATACAGTGTACTGTACAGTGTACAACTATCTCAGAACTAGTGTACACTGTACATGTTATATTGAATAAATGTAATAATGTAAACCAAAATTTTTTTGTAAATAAGAGCAAAACTTTCTGAGTAGTGCATAAGGGCTGGGCATTAGCAATCATTATTTCCTATATGTTGTTTGTTTACAATAAAACTAATTCTTGAGTAGCCCTAAAAAGTCCCAGTAGAATGTACGCAAGTCCTATACTCATCTCATTGGTTCTAAATCTGATGGAATTTCCTAGCAAGTACCTACCCCCCCCCCCGTATTTCAAATGCGCAAAGTTAGTGATTCAATCTATCTATCCTAACCTAGCCTAATAGTATGTACATCAGCGAGGAAAGATGTTTACCTTATAGTGTGTGATGGTCCCTTGAGGGTCAGCTGGTGGTTTCCAAGAAAGTTGTACACCAGATCCTTTCTGTTCTATACTCAGATCCCTAGACACAGCATATATGTACAACTGTACTGCAGTGTTCACATTTCACTGGGGCAGCAGGCTTCCTCTATGGATCAAGTTTTGGGCATAACAAGTTAGGCAAAAATAAACTTGGACAATCTTGCTTAAAGGGACTGTATAGATTATTACGCTTTTTTTAAAAGATAACTTTGCTTGCAATATTAATATTTATTTTTTACAAATCTCTTATCTTTTTATTTTTTATAAATCTCTTACAGGATTTTCGAGAAATATTGATATGTAAAGTCAGCTAGCATACACTCGACATTTATCCAATAATTTTAATGGTTTAAGGTCTGAAATCTGACAATATTTTTCACTTTGTATGAAGGGTCGCATCCTTTCTTTAGAGAACAGTAAATACCGAATCCAGGATCCGGATCAAAATGGAATGGATTTAAATAATAAATACCTAGGTGGGGTAGGAACACCGTCTAGGGTCTGGGTAGAACATACTGGGGCATGATGGTATTCACGTCCTAGAATATAACACTTTAAAAACAATGAATACAACAAGGGAAAGGGGGGAGAATGAGGGAGAAGAAGGGAGAATGGGAGATGGGGAGATTGGTACTAACCTGTCTGAGAGTTTTTAACGAAGAGTCTGATCTGATACTCTGTCCCAGGGAGAAGGTTATCTACAGTATCCTCCCAATCCTCCCTAGACACCCAGTCCTCAGTCAGGTTCCTCCAGCTACTCAATCCTATATCAAACAAGATCAAATCCAACCAAACTAAACCTAACCAAACCAAACCAACAAAATCTGAACACTCTCTACCAACCCCAACCCAACTATATTTTTTACACATCTTGCCAGGATACCAATCTCAGCATCAACAGATTTAAATCAAATATTTACAAATTTACTTTTTATGCAAAGAAAACTTTAAATAAAATTAAGGCGTATGCAGGTTTCATTATTTAGGAAGTTGGGGGGGGGGGGGTGGGGGAAGTGTCAATAACAAAAATATAATGCTATTCATATTCTGTTATTTCACTATTTGCATATAAATATAAAAGTAAAAACTTATGAATATAAAAGTGAACACATTCAAGTATGTTTGCTATTCAAGTTTGTATGTTTGCTATTCAAGTTTGTATATTTACCAACTATGGCTGATGGTACTGATCTAAGATTGAACCTTGAACTTGAAACAATTAACCTGCATGTTGGGATCCAACTAACCTTGTATTGTGTAAGATAGTTTGTAAACAAACATTGTTGCGTTTCCGACCAGGTCACTTTTTGGCCACCATCGTACCCTTTAAATTAAACATTGAAATTTTACAATATTTTAAAATATTTTGGCCACCATCGTACCCTTTAAATTAAACATTGAAATTTTACAATATTTTAAAATATTTTGGCCACCATCGTACCCTTTAAATTAAACATTGAAATTTTACAATATTTTAAAATATTTTGGCCACCATCGTACCCTTTAAATTAAACATTGAAATTTTACAATATTTTAAAATTTTCATTTTCAGGAGGTTCATCACGATCAGGTACCCTTCAAAGCTCTGATTAAGAAAAAAAGATGTTTCCTAGCATTTCTTTTTGAAAATTGATCATTTAAAAAAAAATTTCTAACTCTTTAAGTGATTTGCGGATTTATACAACAGAAAAAAGAAGGAAATTGCCAGAATAAAACCTAAAAAGCTTAAAAAGGGACAAAATCTCTTCCACATCAATAAATAAAATATTTAAAGATTACTGTTGTGAATCGATAATATCTCTTTCAAAATGAAGGGACACTTGAAATAACGCAAACAGTCCCTTTAAGCTTAAAAGAAAGTTTTTTTTTGTAAAGTTTTCAAGTTTTCCTAACACTGTGATCTGTTCCATCTTCATCAACAGGTTCTAGCATAGCTATAGCAATATCCTCCCCCCAGTGCTCACAGAGCTCTTCATCACTTCCGTCTAATAAAGATAGATAGAAATAGATATATAGATATAGATTATAGACAGATATCTAGATGGTTGGTCGTTAGACAAGCATATAGATAGATTGATCCATCCGTAGTTAGAAAGGTACATAAATGGATAGATAGATAAGACATAGAACAAGAGAAACACTTGTCGGAATTGGTTTTAAAAATATTTATTATTAGATGGACGAATTAAATAAATTAATGGGTACATGAATAGATTGTTAAATAAAAGAATGCATACTTTGCGTAGGGTATAAGAGAAAAATACCAGCATAGAAAAATATATGGCAAATAATTTCAGATTTAAGGGTAGGCAGTAAGTAGATTTTTTAGATAGATAAATATTTAATGGATATATATATATATATATATATATATATTTATAAAGATATAAAAGTAGAACCCAGCGCTTCTTTCTTGTTCGTGCAATACACAAACTGAACATTGTGAAATCAAAGACGATATTAGTCCTAAGAAACTTATTTCCTCACCTCTGCAGTCGAAATGTCCGTCACATTTATGCTTCCACGGTAAACAGACAGAACCCCTGTCGCAGCTAAACTCATCGACACCACAGCCGACATGAATCTCGTCATCTGATGTCGGCAGCTCGCGACACTGTTGTTCATCCGAGCCGTCGTCGCAGTCCTGTTTTCCGTCGCATACAGCTGTTAAGGACACACAGCCCCCGGTCAGCTTACATAAGAACTGTCCTGGTATACAGCGGACCTTGTCCTTACACATTTCCTTGTCCTCATCCTCTCCTAAAAAGTACTTAATGTAACTTAATGATACAAAATGAAACCCAAATTTTATTCCTCATCCGAGTAGATGAGCATAAATTCATCAGTTGCTGGGGCAAATCTTTTCAAAATAAAAGTTAACATGTTTTTACAATATAACTGTTAAAAAGGACAATAACTGGATAATACAATGTGGACAGTGGACACGCTTATGTCAAAAATAACAAATTATCTATTAGGTTTAAATTGACGTGTATATACATAAAATGTATAATACTAAGGTTAGGAAATGAGGTTTTATATCAAATTCATGACTTACAAATAGTTCTATAACTTGAGGGGACAAGATCAATTTCCCCTCCCTTCCGAAAACCCGTGTTTGTGTGAAGAGAATTTTAGAAAAGTAAATTATCATTTGGTAAATCATCTTTATTTAGAAGTCGAGACTAAGTTCATCCTTTTAAACAGAATTCGGTAGATATTATTTAAAAATGTTAAATTGGATTTGATATTAAAACATACCTTGAGTACAATCTTGGTCTCCGTCACAAAGCCAGGCAGACCAAATACAGTTTCCGTTGTAACATTGAAACTTGTTGGTAGGACAACCGACTACAGCTGGTTCATCTCCTGTACGGTTACCTGGACATAAAAATATTATTCTTGCTATCAGAGTAACTGTATGTGTAATCTCATTTAAAGAGTGTCATGTCCAATTCACAACGGTACCCTAGAAAAACTATGTGGAAGCTGTTTTTTTATCTCGAAAATTATCCCTCACATATACATCTGCAAGTCACTTTTTCAGAGCAAAACATCAATTTATAGCTAGAAAAAACGGATATCACACTTGATCATCAATTTAAATCAAAGTTACACATTGCAAACATCCCCGGCAGCTAGTTCGTAACTGTACCTGGAGTAAGGTTTGGTTTAATAGAATCCTCTCCACAGTTCTCTTCATCTGTTCCGTCCGAGCAGTCCTCGACTCCATCACACTTCCACCAGAAGGGAATACATTGTCCTGATCCACACTTAAACATCCAATCATTACAGTTCCCCTGGGGGAAGTTAGGCTGGGGAGGTGGAAGTTGAGGATCAGCTGTAATATTACAATCCTTCTCATCACTACCGTCTACACAGTCGGGTTGACCGTCACATCTCCAGGTAGAGAATATACAATGATGGTTGTCACACCGGAACTGCCAGTCTTGACATGCCTCGTCGATGGTACAGTTGTGCTCGTCAGTGCCTCCCGGACAATCCTCGTCTCCGTCACATCGCCAGGCAGAGGGAAGACAGGAACCTCCTGGAACCACGGGAATATATTCTTCAACTAAAATTTTCCCACAAAAAGAAGTGAAGGTAAGGAGGAAAGGGCTTCATTTGTGTTAACGTGACATAGAGGAGCTAGATTGTTTCGAGACAAAACCTAGGACTGTACAGAAGGAGGGTAGGGCCTGGGCAATATATGATACAGGGGTGTATCATTTCTTAAAATTCTTTTACTCTTTCCTCTTTGAAATCCCCCCCCCCGAGGTTTTTTTTCGCTATATTGGGGAAATAAATGATTTTAGAGGTAGATTATCGAAAGGGGGGGGGGGAATGTATCAAAAAGGATGAAAAATTTGCCATTTTACAATTTTTCATTTAATTCTTAAAACTATAAATTGTAACTCATAATTGTCTTCTTATAATAAACAAACAACTTTTTGACCTAAAGAGTTCAGATTGTTGAGAAAATTTTCCCCTCGCTCCTTAATTAATTACCCCTTAAGTAAAGAGAGTTCATATGAGGACTAAACCATGTTGAGAGAATAATGTACTTTATAAAATATATATAACCCTGCCTATTTCACATTGCATCTGATCATCTTTGCACTTTGTTCCTTCCTTGGTACAATTCAGTTCATCACTGCCGTCGTAGCAATCCTTCTCTAGGTCACAAACCCACTTCTTGTTTATACATTGTCCATTGGCACATTTAAACTGTGTCGCATGGTCGCAATCCGTTCGGGGACAGTTTAGTTCGTCGCTTTCGTCAGCACAGTCCTTTTCGTTGTCGCAGCGCCAGTGTGCCGGAATACATTTCTTATTCTCGCATTGGAACTTATTGCCGGGACATTGGTCCTGAAAACATAAATAAAAATGAAGAAAAAATCTATTTCGGTTGATTGTAAGAAAAGGACTTGACTTTAATAGAAAATTGTAAAAAAAAATTTCAGTGTCAAAAGATTTTGATTTCTTTGGATCATATTAATACTAGCATTTTTAAGATGACGAATCGGGTTATAATCTTCAAATCATTGTATTTGAAGATTGAGGTCGTTATTTAAATCTCATTTGTTTTAGGTAACCTTGGACCGAATTTAATAAATATGAGCTTGGTTACTAAACTACCTATTACTGCCGGTTCAAATTCAAAGTTTCATAAGGATTCGAACCAGCAGTAGATAGTTCAGCGATCTCTCCAATTCATAAAATTCGGCCCCATGTAAATCAATTATAGCGACAAACCTTGAAACAGTCGTTTTCGTCGGACATATCTCCACAGTCGTTGCTACCGTCGCACTTCCATAGGTTGGGGATACATAGATTGTTGTTACATTGAAACTGTTGTTCAAGATCACAGCTTCCGCCAACCTTCAGAATATATAGTTATCAAACAAACAAAGATCATATTATTGAAACAATGAGCGAAGCAACTAACAACATGTCAGCTAATTATCCATAACCTAATAACACATCAATTAGCTTAGCAATCTTCAATCAATCTATAAATATATATATATATACTTTGCTTGTCTGTTTGTTTGTATCCAATAAACGTGATAACGGCTGAATCGATCGGGCCCAAATTTTGCATGGGACCTCACATGAACCCAGGGAAGATTTAATGATGCTCAGAATTACAAAAAATGTTTTCCGAATTTATTTTATTTTCGTAAAATTTAAAAAGTCCACGAAAAAGTATTATTAAATCCGCAAACTTCTTTTTTATCAATTACTACATTATTTACTACATCCATCACTACACAACTAAATTAACTAAATGAATTGATCAAAAAATTACTAAATCAATTTCCAAATCCATCGACCGATCAATTAATATACCAATTAACCAATCAATTAACCAATCAATTAACCAATCAATTAACCAATCTATTTAATAAATTAACTAATTAACCTTAGCGGCTGAACATGTTCCATTTGGAAGAAGTTCCTGATTGTCCGGACAGATACATACTGTTCCTGTTCCTGTTCCATTTGCTTTCATTCCATCCGGACACAGGCATTTATACTTGTGTTCCAGGCCGGGGGGTAGAGAGATACATAGATGAGAACAGGAGTGGGAGGAGCAGGAGTTCTGTTCTGTCAGGAGGTGGGGGGAGTAAACCTTCAGATCCATAGCACCTTATCAGGGGGTTAGTTCAATAAGTTAGCATAAAAATTCTGCTTTTATTACAAGAAAATCTGTGGAACGAGAAAACAGTGGAATGAGTGTTTTTTATATATATAAATATTGTGTAATTTGTTATTGATTCATCTTAAAAATATTTCCTGAACAAATATTGCAGACGTATATTGCAGAGTACACATTTTTTAACAAAGTTTATAGTTTAAATTTAGAAGGAAGAATACACTAATTTCTTAATAAATCTATCTGCATTACCTGGTAAATCTGTCAATATTGCCTTGAAAATCTGTCTATATTACCTGGTAAATCTGTTTATATTATCTGGTAAATCTGTCTATATTACCTTGAAAATCTGTCTATATTACCTGGTAAATCTGTTTATATTACCTGGGAAATCTGTCTGTATTAACTGGCAAATCTGTTAATATTACTGGCAAATCTGTCTGTATTAACTGGGAAATCTGTAAATATTAACTGGCAAATCTTTCTATATTTCCTGGGATATATGTCTGTATTACCTGGGAAATCTGGCAAATCTGTTAATATTACTGGCAAATCTGTCTGTATTAACTGGGAAATCTGTAAATATTAACTGGCAAATCTTTCTATATTTCCTGGGATATATGTCTGTATTACCTGGGAAATCTGGCTATATTACCTGAATATCTGGCTGTATTTACTGGGAAATCTGTCAATATTAACTGGAAAATCTGTCTATATTACCTGGGAAATCTGTCTATATTACCTGGGAAATCTGTCTGTATAAGCCTGATATTTGTCCCTCGGTCCTTGTTTGCACTGTAGATTGATTTCCTCGTCCAGTCGTCCCAATACACCTCGTCCTTCAACACTGATACAGCAAAGGGATGTGCAACTTCAAGCTGGTTAAACACAACCTGAATGTTGAATATGTATTATGTGTTTGTGTATTTGTATTATGTTTGTGTGTTTTTGTGTGTGCGTGTTTGATATATTTTTCCAGCCAAGCTTAATAAATCAAAGATTTAAATTTTAAAATTGTGTAAGACATAATTTTAAATGGGATGTGGATTGGGCATTGGGCATCAGTCTCACAATGGTGTTGCGGTAAAAAAAACCCCAAAATTATCAATCAAAACTCTTTTCAAGTACTTAAAGTTTCACTTTAACAAATCTTCATTCTGGCTGTCGTTCATTCTATGAAAATAATTTGTTCTTAGTAGTCTGCCGTTTTTGTATCTTAAGAATTATGACTGAGATATTGAGAAATTAGTCTAAAATCATTAAATACAACCAAGGTTGGTTAATTCTTAGTATCTCCGACTGTTTTTAGAAGGAGGCTAAGTTTTAAAGACTTACAATGTTTTATATATTCTTTCGACAAAAACTAACATTCCGAAAATTGTAAGTGCAAGGTCCAATTTCTATCGTACTGCATGACACCCCACCCGGAAAATTACACCAAACCTTGACTATGATATATTCATTCTATTATATATCTATGAAAAAATATACTGGAGGCAAGTTTTTTAACTTACATTCTTATAAGTTGAATTTCCCCAATTAAGATATCTTAATTTCACCTTCTTAAAGTCATTGCCATCAAGATTTGAGCTGGCTATAAAATCCAGCGCGGCATCTACCCAGTACACGCGCTCAGATACTGTGTCAACCGTTATACCATTCGGCCATTTAACCTGAAGTAGAGAAATTAATCAAAGAAACTGGTTCCTCATTATTTCAAGAGACCCTTTATTTAAAGATGGGCTCTTCGGTTCACAATGCATATGATCCCATTTGAATCTTCGTCTATAAATAAATGATTTCAATGTCCTTGTTTAATAATTTGTCTAAAAAATGAAAAATTTCTGTGCTGTGGTTTCTTCATACAAAAGTGACTTGCGGATTTATGCAGCAGAGACATAAAAGACAATTGTCAGAATTTAACACTTTTAATAAAGAAATAACGAGGATATCTTCCTCGTATGTGCTATGAGATAAAGGTTTGAGGGTTACCAATGTGAATCAGGCTTGCAATTCTTTAAATAAGGGGTAACCGTCACCGTCACCGTCACCGTCACCGTCACCGTCACCGTCACCGTCACCGTCACCGTCACCGTCACCGTCACCGTCACCGTCACCGTCAACGTCATTCAATGTTAAAGCTACCCAAGTCAATGTCAACTTGTTAAGTCTACAGTCAATCAAATTAATGGACAACTAACCTGAATCATCCCCCTCTGATTGACCGAATTGATAATAATAGAATGATTAGATCCGTCCAACAGTGCTCGGCCCACACAAGCTGCCTTCTCTGCCCAGTCAGTGTAGAACATGTATCCCTGCTTAGGATGCAGAGCTATACCTCTGTAAAACAAATATTTATTAATTTACTGTCAACTAGACAGAAGAAGGTAAAGTTTACGCAAAGTTACCGATAGGCCTTTGTGACCTCGTAGCTCGTCTTGGTTAATTTTAATCACAATTTTGCAGCAAATAAAAAGTTGACCCGGTAACATATCAGGAATCCGAAACCTTTTTACTTCTCAATAGGTCTTCAAAAAGAGGATTTATAGTTGAAAACATGTAAGATGCAACTTTCTTTGGGTTTACGTGAATTGAAAATTTGGAATAAGAAGAGTTGATATTGTGGTACTGGTGGTACTGTGGACAAAAGGTTAAGATTGTAAGTATTATGTTGAACATTACAATACATGTTTAGTACAATAAATCATTAAATGGCACCTTCATAATAGGGTTGATATTAGGGTTGCAGTCTGATTTCCCACAAAAACCTAACAGTCTAATATTGTTCTGTATTATGTCATATATTATTTTCTTCGTGATTGTCTATTGTCTAAAAAGATTAAATCCATTCAAACTTTTGAAAATTTCAAAAAATTACTGAGTTAGGTCCAAAAAAAAACTTTTAGGAAAAGTACATTTTTTAGAGGTTTTTTGAACATAAATTCAGTCAATTTTTGAAATTTTTGTTAAAAGTTTCAATGGATTTAATCTTTTTAGACAATTACGAAGAAAATGATATTATTTTGAGCTTAGTAGACTTTTTTTGCGATCTGAACGGGCCTTGCACGACCACTTCCGATAACCAAGATCAATAAAAAAAAATCCTGTGATAACTGGCATCATAAAGAACAATTTTATACTGTTAGGTATTAGTGGTGCAATATTTCTATATTTTCCTACAAAATGGGGTCACCCTACTCCATATCTCAGCTTAAAAAGAATAAAAGACACGAAATTAGAAACACAAACATACAGAGAGACAAAAGAAAGTAAGACATGACCGCCAATTATATACCTGGGTTTGCTGGTGTGACCGAGCTGTGCACGCGTCAATATAATCTTCCTTATCCTGTGTCCGGTAGGTAATCCGTCAGTCTGGGCAAATATTCAGAAATAAATACAATCTCTCTTTTTAAACAATGGAATCAAAATATTCTCAATTTAATAAATCTTAAGGTCTTATTTAATGTTTACTAAAATTATTTTGGTGAAAAAAATGAAAAAAACTTGATATCAAAAAAAAACTTTTTGACACTTTAAACTAAAAACCAAGACTGATAGTATTAAGCAAAAAGCGAAAACCCGATTCAGCTTTTTAAAAAGAATTATCTTTTTAATTGCTTCAAATTGAATACTTCACTCTGGAGACATAAACGCTCATAAAAAGTGTACAGTTAGAAAATAATAAATTTCTGAATTCCTTGACGAGCTCGATAGTTTTCTTGAACCCGTCGACAAAGTAGAGAATCTTGGAGATCTGATCGAACGCCATTCCTTCGACGGAGCTGAGACCTGACCCAACGAGCTCTTCAACCTGAAGTCAGAATTTTCAATTTTGGGATCAAGCATTGATCTACATCTTATGCAGATCTACAGATTATTTTAATTCTTCCCGTGAAGGTCGTACCCGTATAGGGATAACTTCAGATGAGGGATCAAGATCCTCAAATCTAGAAGGACCCACATTGGATATCGTCTAAGATAAACAATATCCAACCAAAAGTTCCAATATTTGTACTAATTGATCATTCAATATCTTCTGAAATGGGCTATATTGCCAAATTATCAGGGGTGTATATTCTAAGTTGTGAGACTCATATTCCCCCCCCTTCCCCCCTTTTCAGAATCACATTTTTTCCCCAAATCCACAACTTTAAAAAGGTATATCTTACAGGTTTCTTAAGCCCACGCAAGAAGTTTGCTGCGGCGGGGGGATGCAGGGGTGGCAGAGCCCCCCTTGCAAAGATTTTTTTTGCATTTCAGTAGGATAATGGAGCGTTTTTTGAAATCATTTCTGATACTGTTTTTTGTGTGTGGTTTTTCCCTTTCCTTACCCCTCCCCCCTCCCCCTTTACCCTTCTCCTCTCCCTATTTTTCCCTTCCCTCTTCCCCTTTTCCCCTTTACTCCTTTTTCCTCTCCCTCTTCCCCCTTTTCTCTTTTCCCTTCCCGTTTTCCTTTTCCGCTTCCCTTTCCCCTTTTTCCTTTTTTTCTTCATTTTTTTCCATCCAACCAATTAAAGCTCATATTTCCCCCCCAACAAACAGAAAAATATACACCCCTGCAAATAATATTTTTCCTTATAAAAGCCACGGTTTAGAAAGTATAAAATCTCATGACTTATGATTAAAAAATCTTACTGTATTTTTCATTTTAATTTCTTTTAGGATAAAAATACTCCTTTATTTTGAAGAAAAAAAATAATAGTAAATACTAATTTTTGACTTATAACATTTAATGATTTTTTTTCTTTCATTTAAGGATTGAATATGAAGGCCCAAAAATAAATGTTATGTTACTAAAAATATCTAATAAGAACCCCTACCTGACTTGAATTAGTCAAACACTGTTTGTTTATAACATCTGTGTTCATGTCCGCCCATATTACACACTCACTAGCGTAGTCCATATCCATAGCGATCACGTTCTGATAATACAAAGCTTAGGAATAAACTCTTAAACAAATACATAAAATAATCTGTACAAACTTCATTTTGGTAACCTCAAGAAGAATGAATATATTAATATGTTTTTATAAACCAAATATCACCCCATTTACATCATTGCTTGGACGTTTAGTATTTTTCTGTATTATTTCAAGTGACCTACCACGCAAATAGGGCGATGTCTGATTTGAATTACAACGGTTAACTTAAAGCGTGTTAGTCGAGTACAGAGATATGTGTGTGTAAACTTATTGTAAGCCGCTTGTGTACGCTGTGTTTTTTGCAGGGTGTAGGCAGTGTACACTGAAATTTTCAGCCGCATACAAGCGGGTAAACATTAAACAAGTTTACACACACACATTCCACACATGTTTGTGTACTCGACAAACACTTTGTGTAATACGAGAACCATTGTATATCAGGCAGTCATCTTTTCATGGAGGGTCATTTGAAATTTCGCTTTCAGTCCCTTTAAATAGAAAATTAACAACATTTCTAGAACGGTGCTAATCAAATTGAAATTTTATTTGAATTTTTGTTAAAAACACAGATTACCAAATCAATTTTTGGATCTATTGAAAACTTGATTTTTTCTTTCATGTTTCTTGATTATTGTAAGCATTGTATCCCTGAATACCAACCAGGGGAAGAGTTTCCACAGTAGAATTGTTCTCCTTCAAAGAAACCTTGACTATCTTGGTTCTCTGTGCCACCAGCATATACGTCTCATGTCCACTGGACACAAATTATCAATGTTTTTTTTTTTAACAGGAGGGGGGTGGGAAAAAATTCACAATTAAAACCCCCTATGTTCGATAAAATTTTAAATGTGAATTACATCCAATTTCTTTTGACTATTAAACAAATAAAATTTCGCCGACTAATTGAACTTTTGGTTAAAGTATAATTAAAATAGAAAAAAAAAATAAAAACATATTTAGTAAATAGAAGACTACAAAAAAAAAAAAAACCACGAGGACCGAAATATAGTCGATTTTAATTTTTTTTTTAAAATCTTGAGTCATTTTCTTAAAGTACAGGGGCTGAAGTTGGAAGAAAGCCAAGTGATAAATACAGAAAAAGGGTAACATTTAGTCTTACTTGATATCAAATGGACAGGCCCGTACTTCCGGTTCGTATCTAGAACTTTGTCCACCTTCACAAACATTTCCGGTCACCTGACATTTATAAAATTATAACTGAGATGGAACTTTATTACTGAGGAATAAGTGGTTAAGCTGATATTATAGAATGTATTCTACCACTGTACCTTGATGTGTTCTAAAACTGTACCTTGACATATCCCTTGCTGATATTATAGAATGTAATCTACCACTATACCTTGACATATCCCTTGCTGATATTAGAGAATGTATTCTACAACTGTAACTTGACATATCCCTTGCTGATATTATAGAATGTATTCTACCACTATACCTTGACATATACCTTGCTGATATTATAGAATGTATTCTACCACTATACCTTGACATATACCTTGCTGATATTATAGAATGTATTCTACCACTATACCTTGACATATTCCTTGCTGATATTTTAGAATGTATTCTACCACTATACCTTGACATATCCCTTGCTGATATTATAGAATGTATTCTACCACTATACCTTGACATATCCCTTGCTGATATTATAGAATGTATTCTACCACTATACCTTGACATATCCCTTGCTGATATTATAGAATGTATTCTAACACTATACCTTGACATATCCCTTGCTGATATTATAGAATGTATTCTACAACTGTACCTTGACATATCCCTTGCTGATATTATAGAATGTATTCTACAACTGTACCTTGACATATCCCTTGCTGATATTATAGAATGTATTCTGGGGACAGGGTGAAGGTATTCCAGGAGGATGAATATTAAACTCTGGATCCTTTATACATCCAGACAGTTTACCAGAGTCACGGATATATCCGAAATCACATCTTAACAAAACTCTGTTTATATTTGTAAAAAGGAAAAGGCGTCTCAAGCCTCTAATTCTCTAATCCCCATACCTTGGCTACCTAATGGTGCAAAACTAATCATATTTCAGACTTTGACTATTTAATCTCGCAAAATTTTTAGTTTTAAATAGGTTGCGAAGGACATAAGGTTGCAAAGATATACAAATTAGACAATTTGAATTAAAGGTAAGTGACTCAAAAGGCAAATGAGATGGGGTTGAAGTAGATACTTTTGGGTTGAGTCTCAAAAGATAAATTTGTATTAACAAAAAAACAATACTAATTGAAGAATAATTCAATAATTTTGATGTATCAATATAAAAAAATTACTGATGATTTATTATTTGTGTTCTCTATCCCATTTTCAAAATTGCGCCTTGTCCTTTGAGTCTGTTGTTTTGATTTTAATTATTTCTTTCGGGAATAATTTTCTGACCTGTAATCCAAGTGAGTACACTCGCACACCTCCATTCTCTTCGCCCTGGTGTAGTCCTCGCCATTGAAGCAATCAGCCTTGGGTGATCTCCGCCGATATACATCCCTCCGCCCCAGGACACACTTAGACATCAATCCGTCCTCCGAGTAGGACTCTAAACATGAAGATATTCATTATTCCGTCCTCAGAGTTGGACTCTAAATATCGGGATATTCAGCAATTCGTCCAAAAAGTAGGACTCTCGGGGACCAATCCTTGTATTACCAGGGGGCTTCGGGGAACAATCTTTGCATTACCTGGGGGTTTTGAGGACCAATCCTTGTATTACCTGGGGGTTTCGTGGACCAATCCTTGTATTACCTGGGGGTTTCGGGGACCAATCCTTGTATTATCTGGAGGCTTCGGGGACCAATCCTTGTATTACCTGGGGGTTTCGGGGACCAATCTTTGTAATCTTGGACTGTACAATTCCTCTTGAATACACTCGATAAATCAACCTGGAAAAAACAATAACAATGACAGTTCAAGTAACAGAAACAGAAAAAATGAAATTGGCAATGGCAATTACAATGAAAATGACAACGATAGTGACAGTGGTGATAAAAATGATAATGATAATAACAATAAAAATAACAATAAAAACAACAATAAAAATAATAACAACCAAAATACAACAAAAACTTTATTTACCTTTATAATGATCCAGTCTATAGGTTTCCCAGGTTGAAATTTTGTCCCAAACATTGTGAAGATTGTTGTGTTCTCTCCCGGTTCAGTTATCAAACCAAATATCCTTTAAAGAACATGAAGAATATAATTGTTCACTTAAACCTTGAACTTAATAATAACTTTTGATTTGACTAACATTGAATGAAACATCGACATTATCTTCAACACACAAACTTACATTTAGGTTGACATTAACTTCACATTTGAAAAGGGCTGAAAGTACGTTCAACATCATGTAGTAGCTAGGGATGGGCAATAGCCAGATTCGTTTTACAGAAACTTGTAATGTTCTTAGACTTTTCAAATGTTTTACAACAATATGAGAAACTTCCAACAATCTAAAACTTTATTCTGTAGAAGTTTGCATTTATCAAACATGAAAATGTGTTATACTAGAAAAAAATATACGTCAAAAACGATAAGGTTTTTCAAAATGATAGTTTTGGTACATTTTTGCCTTATATTTTCAACCAGGATAACAAATTTGCATGTTTGATAAAGAAAACTTTAAAAAATACAAAAAGATTACGGGTCATTTGAAATGACGTGTGCAACCCCTAAACATAAGTGTTAATTTCAACATAAGGCTGTGCACTACCTCATAGGTGTTGGATAGAACTGATGAGATTTCCAATTAAGTCCCTCGTCAGTAGAGTACATGATTTCATTAGTAAATCCTTCAGTTTTAAAGTATTTAACCGCCACAAGAACTCCGCCATGATCGCCGATATTGTAATAATAGTTACCCTGAAGAACCTGCAAGCAAAAAATAGATGATATAACAGTTTTTAACGAGTTTAGACTTAAGTTTTTAAATTAACAAATAAATGCACTGACATGAGGGATGAAGATTTCCTAAAATACTTCTTGAAAATAGTGTTGGGTGGAGTCTGGAACATAAACATTGCCCCACCATAGCCTCCTAAAAATATAGGCAATTCAACCAACCTCCACCCCCCACCCCCCCTCGAAAAGATCCTGGTGGTGGGGCTGAACAGAACCAGCAACTTTTAAATAAAAAGAAATATATTCTTTCTTAATCAATGTTTGCGCCAAGCATAAAAAGCAAAGTACACCCAAAAATAAATATACCCATGCTCCTGAAGAAAACTTAATTTTAGTTTTATATAAGTCTGCTGATTAGATGTTTTATAATCCCTTTGTTTTAAATATGTAAATCAGGAGAAATATTTATAAAAACTTGTCTGTCACATTATTGATAAAAAGTGCAAACAAAGAATTCCTTTCAGACACTGTTTCTTTACCAGGACTTAGTAAAAACTATTAAAGAGAAGTTTATTGAACCCGGGTCGCCTCCTAGAAACTTTAATTAAAACTTAGTTTAGAAAAAATCAGAGTGAATACTTTTATGATCTGGAGAGAGAAGTTGTAGAATTAACAAAAACTATTTAAATTATAATACACAACGTTTTTTTGATTTGGGTCAACAGCTAACCCCTAAGTTCAGCACATTAAAGAGACTGTAAGCGTTTTTTTAAGTGAACCTCCATGCTAAGATGCCAATGCTCCATTCACATCTGTACCCTTTAAACATTTATCTGCTCAATAATGTGGAAGATATTGTCGTTTTCTAGATTGAAACGTGTTTAAATCTAATAATTTCTTTATGTTTTCGGTTTCCAACATGAGAAATGCGCAAGTCACTTTTGTTAAGAATTCTATTTCATAGTTGATAACGCTTTTAAGGGTACCATTGTGAATCGGACATTGCTGTCTTCGCACCGAGTGTTCCTTGTCCAGCATTCTCTCTCTCTAGCATATCTTTCGAGTGGTAAAATAGGCTTAGATGTAATGCTAATGTGTATTTTAAAATATGTAATCAATCCCTTTAACTAAACTGACTTTAAGCGTAATTTCAAGTGACTCTCATTGCAAAGATGCAAATGCCCGATTCACAACTGCACCCTTAAAACCTTTATCTGGTTTAAGGGCAACATTGGGAATCGGGTGCCATCTTTAAATGGAGAGAAACTTGAAATTACGCTTACAGTCCCTTTAATGATTCTAAATGTATTGACCTGATGCCAGGATAAGCCTGCATCCGCTGACATGTAAACACTCGTCTTAGTTTGCAGATTCCGGCCCATATTCCCTGATAAACATCATAATATCATAAACAATCTGTGCTCTCTGTGCATTCCCCCTTTAAGCTATAGGAATATTGTTTAAGTAGTAGATAGAGAAAGAGCCTGTATTATTAAGTATTCATAATTACAGTGGGACCTATAAAACCATCACATAATCCAGACTGGACAAACACCAGGCTCGAATATATTTAGAAGACGACATTCTATAAGTCCATTGAAGCCAAGAGGATACATATTTGTACAATTAAGATACATTAGTACACCTTGCAATACAAATTCGTGTCATTTTATAACGTAAATGTTCCCCCAACTCGCATAGTTTAACTGTAATGATTACCCCACCTCGCAGGAATAATTTAAAAAACATTTTAAATGTCGTCTTCATATTTCTGATATTCTTTCAGCCTAGTGTTTGTTCCGTCTGGATGATGTGAATAGTAAGACGACATCTTAAAACTTACGTGAATTTGATGTTGTTGTGAAGCAAATAGTTTTACCGGTAGCTTGAAACTGAACTTATTAAGTGAAATGGGTCTGTGTACAATAAAAAATCTGTGCTTAATGTCGTCTTTTTAATCTAATATGGGCCCATTGTAATATTGTAAAAGGTTGTAAAAGTTGCATTAGGTTTGTTTTTATTAGGAAGATTAAAATAAAATGCCGTCTTTGTTTATTACCTGTAGCTAGCACTACTCCTGGTGCTGCTTGTGTAGTTAGAATTGGAATACTTCGTGTAGCAGGATACTTTCTACTCAGTTCCTGGGCTATATGCAGGCTACAGTAGATACAAGTTCAAACATTTCTAAAATCAGCTGTGGCATCAAAAGAATGCATCTAATTTTAAATATACGTGCACAAAATACAAACACCGAAATGCCATATGACCCTTTTTTCTTAATACTAAGACTATCAATAAAAATAAAAATTTTATCAATAAAACATAACAATGTGTCTTTCTTCTATTTTTCCAAATAGGGTTTTCGAACTTCCTGTCATCCTTCCATCTCTAGTGCAAGTTGAAGAAGGGATGTCTTGGGAAATTATCAAACACACAGAAGTTATTTAAAAGGAAAAATGAATCAAATTTTGGATAAATTCTTGAGACATATTGGAGCAGAACTGGGCGAAATAAATGGGTGTTATGCCTAAATAATTGAGTTTTTGGGCATTGTTTTTTAGTTTTTTCACAAACCTTTATTTCATTATTTTTATCTAAAATTATTTTTATCATATTAAACACCTCATAGGTTGATTTGAGAAGAAGAGTGGGATTATTGTACAGTATATGTTATACATTATCCACTTAAATACAAGAATTCAGAATTTACAACAGGTAATATAAAGTGAAAAATATTAAATTGATTTAAGTATTTACAGTGGAATTAACTACACAAAACCAAGTGCAGACAAACACATAATAAATATAAACTCAATCAAACCTTTTTCTTTCTTTGAGAATACAATTTGCTCACCCCAGATCTATTCTGAATAAAGATATCCTTCATTGAACATTTTTGCAATTTACACTAACTCGCTTTGCCCCCCCCCGGCCCCCATGCAATAAAAACCGACCCTAACAAAATCAAAGTTTATCGAATATTTCTACTTCGAATATTCAAATCCTTGATTTATCATTCAATGATTCGAAAAGTTTTAGTTATCTCTTATTAATTCATAATTGAGGCATAAATTGAAATGTGTTGATCTAGCTGATCTAGATCCTCAGGACCAGTTAGGTTATGCTATGTTTACCTGTATATAGGTTATAGGACAAAATTAGGTGGTCAGGTTTACCTGGTAGCAGCCCTGTTTAGTGGTCTGTGGTAGGACCCATAATAGGAGGTCAGGTTTACCTGGTAGCAGCCCTGTATAGGATGTCCCTGGTGATCTGTGGTAGGACCAACAATAGGAGGTCAGGTTTGCCTGGTAGCAGCCCTGTATAGGATGTCCCTGGTGGTCTGTGGTAGGACCAATAATAGGAGGTCAGGTTTACCTGGTAGCAGCCCTGTATAGGATGTCCGTGGTGGTCTGTGGTAGGACCAATAGTAGGAGGTCAGGTTTACCTGGTAGCAGCACTGTATAGGATGTCCCTGGTGATCTGTGGTAGGACCAACAATAGGAGGTCAGGTTTACCTGTTAACAGCCCTGTATAGGATGCCCCTGGTGGTCTGCGGTAGGACCAACAATAGGAGGTCAGGTTTACCTGGTAGCAGCCCTGTATAGGATGTACCTGGTGGTCTGTGGTAGGACCAACATTAGGATGTCAGGTTTACCTGGTAACAGCCCTGTATAGTTTGTCTCTGGTGGTCTGTGGTAGGACCAATAATAGTAGGTCAGGTTTACCTGGTAGTAGCCCTGTATAGGATGTCCCTGGTGGTCTGTGGTAGGGCCAACAATAGGAGACCAGTACCCACCAGCATCAAAGCTGATCAATGTTGATAGATTGGACGGCCTAAACATTATTTAATAGATATTACAATGATAAAATCAGGAAAACTACTTTATTGTAAACAAAACATATACAATATTAAAATATCAGAGGTTTACAATAAAAGGTTGCAAAGATGAAGATCACTGCAAACTAGAAACTTGTAAATCCCAGTTATAGGACAAGCCAAGCGGATACGGCGAAATCACTTTTAAAATGTCGTACTTATAATGAATTATTGAAATTAATCCCAGCAAAGTACGAGAATAGGGTGGGGCCAGTACATGACATAGTTTCTAACATTTAACAACAGACTTGTTAAGATACTAAGTTTTACAATAATTTAAGGCCCACAAGTTTACTTCTAAAGGCAAAGATATAATTTTGAAGAAAAAAGGTATTTTTTTTTATGAAAAAAAAATCGCAAAATAGCCCTAGTGCTGCCATTTCCTAAATGTGGTCTGCCTTTTTTGTGCTTTCAATATTGCCCGAGATATGAAGAATTTCGTTCAGAGTATGCCAATTTTTAACTTTAAAAATACTAGAGATATAAAGAGTTTTGTATAAATTAAAATTTTAAAAATGAAACCATGAAAATGTCTTATTCTAAACGAAATCATTCATTTTTATTATTATTGTTAAAGGCCAACCCGTCATATATCCGGTAATCATGAAAACGAAAAATGGCAGGACAAGGGCTATTATGTGATTATTGTTTTTTAAAAAAAAAATATTATTTAGGTTGCCTCTCGTGAATACCGCAAACTATTTCTAAAGTCAAAGACAACTTTAAAGTCTTCAATCAACTAAAATTAGTCCGGTTTATTTAGATTAGGGGTGTATGTGTATTGTGTATGTAAAGGGTTGGGATCCATGGATGGAGGGGGGGATATCAAAAGGGGAAGTACTAATGGTTACTAGGGGGGGGGGGGGGGTAAAGAGAATGATAGATATTTACCTGTCTATCCATGAATTTCTCCAAGTAGTTCTGGGTGTGTAGAACATTATTCTCTCTAGTGACAAGGTAAACTGAACCTAAAAATAAATTATTTTTTCTATATAATCAAGAATTTAAAGTGTTCTAAACAGACTGATTTTAGACGTTTCAACTTTAGCAATTTTGCAACTTAAAATCAACTTAAACCGAAGGAAAAAGGAAAATAAAAAAAAAATTTAAGTAGCCTGATGCCTTATAAACAAAATGTAATCGAAACCCCCGTATAAATGTAAAATAATCGACAAAATGGAAGTCTCTAGACGAGTTTGATTTGTCCAGAGCTAGGAACCTTTGTGTTTGATACTAAAATCCAGATCCCTTGAACTCGATATGCACCGTAGGCACTTTTAATTTAAGGATTTATGCTTAACCTCTTCATTTCAGTTATCACTTCAAGGTACAATTACACTGCAAATATTTAATAAAGACTAAATTAATCTGCAGATTAACAAAGATTGAGATCAAAACAAGAGTTCCAAGCTCAGAACATCTAATTTTCTGATTAAATACTTGTAATTACCTCGTGCTCTGAGACTATATCGCTAACGTAGAGGTTACTGTGAGTTGTATTATGACTGGAGATAAGCATTATAGATCCGTCCTCACTTACATCAGCAACATAGTAGGACAAGAAGGACAGATTGTTCTCAGGAAACTGAGCTACAGACATCCTGGAATTAATCAATCCATCAATAGTTAAATCAATTAATCATAGTAGGACAAGAAGGACAGAGCTAATGACATCCCAGAATTAATCCATCAATCAAATAAAATTCAATTTTCAATCAGCCCATCAAACAATTAATTAATACATCAAATATAGTGGGCTAAATAGAATATGCAGGACAGGTTACTCTCCGGGATCTACAGATATCCTAAGATAATCGATCAATCAACCAATCAATCAATCTATAGGGTAATTGACATCCTCATCATGATAAATTAATCGATCAATTGATCGACCTACCAATTAAACAATCATTGAAAGATCAAAATACCAATCAATAAATACATAAACCGATCAAGCATCTAAACATTACCTTTGATCATGCCGGCCGACATACAGAAGTTTCTCCTCTGGGTTATTTGGATCAGATTTTACAGCAAACAGGAAATCTTGTTTCAGCTCAAACTCTTCAACATCTCGTATCACAACCTTAGAAATATCAATCAACAATAACATCATGATAATATTATCTAGTTTAAGGTTATTTTGGTGAATTAAAACTGTTTATCGTTTTATTTATTTATTATTACAAGCTTAAGTGCCCGACATTGCTCGTGAAATTTTAAAAAAATTAAAAAATTGTTAAAAAACAATTTTCATCTTGAAAAAAAAAATCGATTTTTAGCCGATGTTTTCCTTGGGGTTCCATTAAAAAATGTTAGCCAATTGGGTCCAGTCGTTTGGCCAGTTATAGCTGACATATGAGTGAAGAGCTTTATTATATAGATATTAAGAATATCTGCGTGGTTATTAGATTCGCCGTGTAACTATTTTTATCATTTTTATCATTTTAAAATCAAACAATATCTCCACATGTCGTTGGTCAAATTTGAATTAAAGATGTGTCAGGAAAGGAAAAATATGTAGCGCATATTTGCAACATTTCAGTAAAGTTCACTTCAGGACATCAAGGATAAGTTCAGAACTTATCAGAACTGTTAAGTTACAATGAAAAGCGCCTATTACTAAAGCAAAGACTTTTGAAAACCAAAGCTCCAAGCGAATCAACAATCACGCAATAACTAATTTGCCTGGTATAGTAAGTTACGTAAAACCAGAGCATATTTTTACAAGAGCAGTTTACAAGTAAAAACAAAAAATTTTAAAAGTAAAATAAAAAATGATATTAAAGTACTCCTACCTTGGTGTTCCTGGGATCCTTAAAGAAGTCTGTAGATGAAAGTATGGTTTGGGTTCCTGAAGGTTCTAGTCTAGTCACATACAGTACACTTTCAGCCTAGAAATCATAATTTATAATCCATGGATAAATATTTCCTTTAAAAATCATTCCCACTCTATCCAAATCTTTAAAATCTCCGCGTTGTTAGGAATTATCAAAGAGCTTGGTTATTGGACCATCTTTTGGAATTATGCATATACGGAAATTATACCAAAACTTGAGGGAAAATAAACTGTCATAAATAGGAAAATCGACAAAATTCAAGAATTCAACTAGGAGGGAGGGGTGGGGGAGGGATTTTTAATGATTGATAGGAACTTTTTTTTAACTGGACATCAAAAGCCACCTTTTAATCATTGATTTACCCTTAAAATTCTTTTATTTTCCCAAATTCAGCGAATAAAACCCTAAACAAAAGCATTTTAT